TAAAAAATGGCGTCTGATTCTGTCAACGATTTTGATGCAACTAAATGAAAACGTGATAAATTAATGTCTGATATTTACAGGCTCCCGCTAGACGGCGTACTCGAGCGTTGCGATCGCGAATAATGGTTTACAGTAACAAATTAAGTGTTTTATAATTTAATTCTACTTATGCTTACTATAATTTATGCATGATGTAGCTGTAATTTAAATTGAATGATGCCTAACAATTTTAAAGGAAAAAGAGGCGTTTTAATGAAACTTGAGAACCAATGCAGGTCGATCAGAAATACAATGATTGTCGATTCTAATGACATTTTTGTTTCTACCCTGGAATACTACCTTCACTTTTACTTACTTTATTACAAAGCTTTTTTTCGTGTTTTTTTTTAAAACTTTTTTTTATTAGTTGTCAGCTGTTTGGAATGGAAGTTTGTTCGCATAAAGGAGTGAGTCAAACATACTAGAGTTCTGGTGCTCGAGAACTACTCGAGGTTTTAATTTCGCATTTTTTGTGTGAATGTGTGATAAATTGTTTCCCATGGAAAAAAAATACGGGAACTGTTTAAAGGCCAGAGTTAGTGAAACATAGTGCATAGACATGGAGGAACACATTTTTCTTGCTGAGCAATAGTTTAAGTCCGTCATTCTTTGGTTGTGCAATTTTCCGCTTGGGTGACCAAAATTGACTACTCAGATTATGTGATGAATCTTTGTATCTTTATTTAAAAATTAAAAAAAATTTAAACGTTTATACCAACCATCTCATAGCCACGTACGACGACAGAACAACACATTTTTATTGTTTGAAAAATAGTATCCCTTTGCATAACTTTTGATCAGATTTTCAAGTGCAAATTTTTAAATTTTTGAAAGTTGAACTTAATACGCCATAATGAGTGGAATTAGTTAACGTAGTTTGTGGGCCTCATTCTGTAACTTAAGAATTTATTTTTCACCCTATTGCTAATTAATGTTATTGGCGAAAATTATTGAGAGACTTTCTAAGTAACTAAAAGCTACAGAATAAATAGAAAAAATGAATGCAAAGCTAAGAGAAGGCCAAAGCTCACTCCGATATGTTGCACCAATAATAATGATGGTATTGATTGAAAATTAGATATTTGTCATGTACACTGTTAGAAATTTTTCGGCAGAGATAATTAAATAGCAATTTATTTCATTGTTATTTTAATGTAGGCCACCAAAACCGTCCAATAACCACAAAAAATGATATTCCGTGCCAACTAGGACCACTTTATGAAGCCATTCTGTTTCCGTGCTTCTAGGTACATACTGTAGCTGAGGTGGCTAATCGGACAATCTCATGTCCAGCTGAACAGGAGTTTGAATCCCAGTGTTGGCACCACATTATTTGTTCCATTCTCTCAATATATGAAGAGATTCCAGTGTCTTGCACTCTTCTTCCATTCTCTCAATACATGAAGAGATTCCAGTGTCCTGCACTCTTCTTCCATTCTTTCAATACATGTAGAGATTCCAGTGTCCTGCACTCTTCTTCCATTCTTTCAATACAAGAAGAGATTCCACTGTCCTGCACTCTTCTTCCAATTTTTTCAATACATGTAGAGATTTCAGTGTCCTGCACTCTTCTTCCATTCTTTCAGTACATGTAGAGATTCCAGTGTTCTGCACTCTTCTTCCATTCTTTCAATACAAGAAGAGATTCCAGTGTCCTGCACTCTTCTTCCAATTTTTTCAGTACATGTAGAGATTCCAGTGTCCTGCACTCTTCTTCCATTCTTTCAATACAAGAAGAGATTCCAGTGTCCTGCACTCTTCTTCCAATTTTTTCAATACATGAAGAGATTCCAGTGTCCTGCACTCTTTCACCGCGAGCTATAGGAATACGAATAAGTGTCGCATCGCCCACAGATGTCCGTTTAAGTTTTATTTTTATGTTTTAAAACTATGCTATTTTTAAATGGTTACAGAACTGTGTCATTTTTATTCGTGTTTTGTTTAACTGTACCAGATGTAAATGGATTCAAAACCGTAGAGGTAAAAAAAGGATTCTAACCATACATTTTGTGCTTAATCGGATGGACAGACTGAAGCCGGTTATTTTACCGTAATTTCAGAATGAAAGAATTCTAACAGTGTAGTTGTACTTCTATGAGATTGCAATTATACTTTGAACATTTGTAGCTAAATAAATCAAGGTATATTTTTCTTGAATGCCATATATCATTCCTAATTGTAATATGTATAATTATTTCAAATTATTTTTAAATATCTAAAAATTGCAACCGAAATAGTTTGCGTGAAGGGTAAGTAGTTATCTTAAGAAGACGCGCAGGTGAAGTCCTTCATGGCTATTTCAACAGAATCTGAAGTTTAGGGAAGAAATGAGTGTAGGTAAACACAAAAGTAAATGACGAAGTTTCAAATTATTATATATATATGGATTATTTGAGCTAGCACAAGGGGGAAGTTACCATGTAATAATTTGTTTACGTTTTGAAACTTTGAAAACTTCAACTTTTACAGTAGGCTTACCTGGTCTCTTTTAAAATACCCATGGAGGTGAAGCAGAATTTGAACTGAGCAGTTTTTCACGCCATATAGTGTCCTCTTAAAGAGTGCACTGCTTTGCAATTGCTTTTGTTATTTTTGCCTAACTCAATAGTATGTATATCCGAGAATATTTTTTTCTCCTTGAAGTGCAAGATGAAACTCATAGAACAGATAAAACCCATTTTGCATTATCGCACCTGAAGATGAAACAGAAATTCTTCATCTTGCACCTCTTCACTTCGTAGGGAGCATAAGGCCTTAGTCGTGACTCTTCATCTCACTCTGTACTTTCTTTTCATGTTTTGTTCATGGTCTTTAAATAATTCGTCACGTAATTTTAGGTTAACCCCTCTGTCGTTTACCTCAGAGGGTGTCTAATCCAGCACCTGTTTTACTATGAATTCTTCCGGCTTTCTGATAGTGCATTCTCTGATTTCTATTTCTATCTGTTTTTGCTTACTGATTTTGAATAACTCATTGCTAGATATTTTGTGTAACCATTTGAATTTGTTATTTGAATCTGATACAAGTTGAATATATATATATATATATATAAATTTCNTAACTCAGTGGCGCGACAGCCCATTAAGAGGGCCAAGGCCGACTGTGCCCATCTCAGTTTTCTTGACCTTGGGCTCTGGGGTGCAGGAGCATATGTTCCGGTCAGGTGGTCAGCCGAACGCGGAACCCCCAGTGTTAGTTCCCAAGCATGCTTGGTACTCATTTTATCGACCCACTGAAGGAATGAAAGGCTGAGTCGGCCTTGCCCGGCCCAAGGATCGAACCAAGGACCTGTGGCACGGCAGCGCGAAGCGCTACCACTCAGATTATGACGGACTAGCAGATATTATTTTGTTTTCTAGTAGTACTTTTATGTAAGTGTATTTTCGTCACAATAATTTTACTTTTATACTACTATTATAAAAGCATTTCGAATATATATATATATATATATATAACCNCGATATATATATATATATATATATATATCCTTCCACATTTTTATGTTATTAAAAATAATCTTGATTTTCCTGGCATTTTTTGAGGAAATAATTGTTCCTCATGCACCTATGTTTTCCTTAAAGAAATTACACATCTCTTTATTTGAATAAATATTTCTCTATGATTCCTTCTTTGAATGTGTTCATTAGTTCAGAAAATACAATTCTTACTTTTAATTCCCAAAATACATGCGTGATAAATAAATAAAAAAATGTAAATGTTCGGTAAAGTGAGTTATTTTCTGGAAACCGTGAAGGATAAAATCCATAAGAATATTCCTTTTGGAGGAATTGACTGCTAAAGCAATGGATCATATAACTGGATGAAAATTTACTCTGAAGGATAAGGAACATCGTTTTCAAAAGCATGTTCTGTGGATAAACGACTTTTTCTTCCGGGGAAAAAAAACCCAGATTCCGGCGGAAACTAAATCAAGATTAATGTGCGGGACGTCAGTTAAACCCTTTCCTAGGAGGATACACAGCTTATGAGAAAGTCTTTCCTCCAAAGATAGATTCCTTTCGGATGAAGAAAACTGGATATTATTTCCTGCCTTCATCAAATGTCTCTTTCTTATAACATCAATATTTCTTTTTTTCATTTCTTTCTTTTTTTTAATTAAAGTAAATTTAAAAATTTAATTTTCTAAATAAATAAAAAGAAATATATAATGAACCAATACTTCGAGGTTTCACTCATTTAATTGATTTTTCCTTAAATGCTTATCTATTTTATTTGTTTCTGATGGTAACATGAACTCAAATCATCTTTATCTAAGTCTTGGTTGAAGTAAGTTTATCCGGTAAAATACGAAATAGTTAAATATCGTAGATTTAGTTTAAAGGACAGAGTCAATTACTTTTCATTCCAGATGGTAACATAAATTTAAATCATCTCCATTTTGTTATAGAAAGTATTTTAAAAAGAGGAGATGTTAAAAGGGTGAAAACAAATCCTAATCATATTTTCAGTAAAAATGTTGTAGATTCTTTCGATTCTTAGTCACTGAAAAGGGCCCATTTGGGTGTCGTTTAAAAACTTGTAATAGAAGAACACATAAAAGCAGTCGAAAGCAAATTTTAAAATCCTCTATATTCTACCTAAATGATAGTCCAATACATCATTCCTGGGGTTTGAATTAGTTAGGAATTCGTTATTTAGAAGAAATAACAATGTTTTACAGATATTTATGAGTCTTAACTATTCTTATTTGTAGGCTTTTAAGTCCATGTAAAATATGAAGAATTTTATGGCATGTCCATTTAAACGAGCTAGGAATAGAATGCATTTTACTGTTTGTCAAAATATGTGTTGTAGCAACTGGATTGATTTGAAAAAGCGTAGAATGAATTAGTAATTTATTATTTGTGGTGAATAAGTTGATAAACTAATAAAATATTTAAAACAAATAAGCACCTATTTTTGCACTTAAAATGTTTTTTTTTTCTTCTTCTTCATTACAGATGAATTGTTTGGCTGGAATAATTTATTACGTCATTTCATCATTCCTACACACAGCTGCTCTAAGTAAGTATGATCCCTCCCTTTACTCCGTATATCTCATCATCGCTCCGCTATTGAAACTCGCTCATTCGATGTTAAAGAATGGCTTTATGTCAATGTTGGTTCCATTTTTGAAATAAAGCTGTTAAAATAGGGTCAAAGAAGTTTTTAGGTATCTACATTTAATTAAATTTATGTACACGTATCCAAATTTCCATTCGTATAAACTCGGTTTTTAGTTGGTTTACTCACATTTCAATACTACCTTACTACTTAAAAATTACATTTGGAACAAATAATTCTTAGAATACTCAATTCTGCTGTTCAGAGTTAGGAGTTGGTTTAATACAACAGTTTTGAGATTTTTATTCTTTCACGAACTCGTAAATTGTTTAACATGACTGAATTCGAATGTAAATAATAACATTTTCCTTTTATAATAACATTTACATTTTCCTTTCCTTATACATTTTCCAATTTTTGTTATCTCGATGTTCCTTTGTTTTTCGAGTTATCTTATTTGAAACTGCATGAGTGTGAAAAATACTACTCTAAAGTATAAAAATACGGACAGTCGTAAAAGGGCTCTCTGAATTATTATATTTCAATAAGAATGATTTTTTCGTTAATTGAGCAACAACATGATTTAATGAGAACTTTGAAATAAAGTAGTTTACTTTTAATAACATTTTCACGCTTTTCAATTTTCTTAACAAAGCATTGCATTCCAAATTAAAAGAGCTTCGCGATCGAATAAATGGACCGCAGCAATTCCCACTCCATTCCAAAATCTAATTTCCGCTCTCGCCTGCTTTCATAATCGACCTCTTAACTTCCCCACACCGTCCACACACCCCTAGTAAATGACAAGAACCGTCCACAGGTCGATTATTTTCAATAAAATTCGCATTTACTGAGGCGAAAGACTGAAAAGCCCCCCCTCCCGTATGATGGAATTTCAAGAACAGATGTTAATAAAAGGTTACACGATAGAAAATTGCAAAACGACTAGATTATTAAATTTAGAATTTGTTCAATTTATTCAGCCTCTTTTAAATTGAAAAATTGAACACACATAGCCTTTGGAGTTGTAAATATTTAAGCTCCTATATAAGTGCTATTACAAAATAAATGCTGCTACAAAGCCATTATTTGAATCAATCGCTTGTTCTTAGCGTTTTTGGGGAAACTCGTCAATTCAATTCAAACTTTTAATCTCACTGTGAATGAATTATTTGTCTTTAAAGAAAGAATTCAGCTTATTGAATTTAGAATTGATGCCATGTATTTCACAGTCGTCTCTTTTAAATTGAAAAATTGATCACACAAACCTCTTTCGCTGTATTCAAAATTTAAATACTTACAAAAGTAAGTGTCATTACTGAAAAGTGATATTGTACAATTCCAAAACAAATGTTTTTATTTTATAAAGTCATTATTTAAATGAATGAAGCATTCATAAACGAAGTCTTGGGACATATCCGTTTAATTCTGAATTATTTGCTCTTTACTAAAAGAATTCAGCCTATTAGATATAATTTGGTCGACGATTGTTTTTATTTTTATTTTTTTTATTTTGAATTTAAAATAAAAAGTTGGACACAAAATCTCTTGGTAGTGGTTAAAACGCAATTAATTTATGAAACCGTGTTCGTAGACAGAGAGTACTGGCTTCTTATTGAGCTAAGTCGAATCCTAACGATGACTAAATCACTCACGAATCGCAACGATTATAATGTTAACGTAAAATCTCCCCAGGGGATAGAATCTCCTTGCCTTTCCGTTTAAGTTTTCTTAGTTTACGCTGTGTTCGAAATATGATGACGACAGAGTTTAATATTTGTAACCGTAAGTTTCATAAGAGCCGACTTCTTACTATTGGTTTTAAGAGTTTCCTTGTATTTAGAATTAAGTTAAATATTTTAAGCTAACGGTGTTGAGCATTTGTAGCCGAAAATTTCATACGGAAGAGTTGTTTAATGTTTGTTCTATGAGCTTCGTTATATTCTGGGTTGGATTCAAAATTAAAAAATATTGGTAGCCACAAATACGAGTTAATTGTTAAATGTCAATTTCAGGAGCTTCGTTACATTTTGAATTGAGTTCAAAATTAGAAGGTTACAATTATAAGTAGCCACAAATTTAACAAAAATGAGAAGTTTCTCTTACGCCTGATGGAATCGACTTGTGTTTCAGGTTGGGGTCGAATTTTCAAAGCTATGCCTTTGAAGATTGGTAGTTGCAAATTCAACACGAATAGACTGTCCAATGAAGTTGAATAAAATAAATGCACATATTTGTAAATCAAGATTCTTTAAATTGTGTCCCCTCATAGGGAGTGTTTGTCGTTGCAGGCAAGTGCATCTTCCAGTTCCAGAGTGAGCAAAGCGAGAGGGGAAACTTCTCGTCTCCCATGTTCCCCAACAACTACTCCGAATCCCTCGAGTGCATTTACAACTTCCAAGGAAAAGACCACGAAACACTGAGGCTCACTTTCCACCACTTTGATCTGGAGGCACCATTCAAAAAAGGGTAGGAAATCAGTTGATTCACTCCAAATACAGGTTGTTTATAAATTCCCGAGCCCATTTTGATGTTTAATAACTCATAAAATAATGAAGATATAAACAAACTTATGGCATTTATTGATGGAATGACTCATATATTTTCCTTTTCAGGTTTGAATATCTTTACTTTTGTAAATATCGTCATCACGTGTGGTTAATTTCAGATAATTTCATTTTCCAGTCTAAATATCTGTACTTTTCTAAATATCGTCTGCTCATTAATTGCATTTTTCTCTCTTTTGTTTTTGGCAACTATTGCAGTGTTATGTTTACTTTTGATGTGTTTGTTCTATGTAGTACTTTTCTATGTGATGTTTTATTCGAGCGGATATTAAGAAGAATGCATACACACCACAAGAAAAAGCACAGATTTTATGGTGGTTCATAGAAACGAAATCGATAGTTCAAGCACAGAGAAATTGCAGAAGAATTTACCAAAAAGATTCTCCATCCAAGCAGCATCTTGCGGCGGAAAAAGAATTTTCAAGAAACTGGAAGTATCACAGATAAGAAACGTTCCGGACGTCCCTGCACAAGTAATTTTGACGTTGAGCGCGTCAGACAGATATGTCAGACAGACATTTTTAGACAATCCTAGAAGATCTGTGAGATCAGCGGCAAGAGAATTGGATATGCCAATTTCGACCGTGTAGAAGGTTATTAAGAAACAATTAAGACTGCATGCATACAAAGTTCAAATTGCTCAAGGTTTGGAACCGGACGATAGGCCTAGGAGGATGGCGTTTGCAACAGATATGGTAGAAAGGATAGAAGATGCTGCTGATTTTCTGAAGCGCATAATGTTCTCCGACGAAGCATCCTTTCATGTTTCTGGCATTGTTAATCGCCTTAATGTGCGCATATGGGGATCTGAAAACCCCCATGAATACCGTGAGACACAAAGGGATTCCCCAAAGGTTAATGTGTGGTGTGGACTAATGCACGACCGAGTCATTGGGCCTTTCTTTTTTACAGAAAAGACGGTCTTATTAGTCGTATACTTAGACATGCTGGAAAACTTCATATTTCCACAACTAAAAGAGTTTCAGCCACATGTTTTTTTGCAACAAGATGGTGCACCACCTCCTTAGGGTATCATCGTTCGTAGTTCTTTGAGGGACCATTTTCCAGGAAGATGGATTGGGCGAGGAGGTCCAATTCCTTGGCCACCCAGATCACCTGATATAACGCAGCTGGTCTTTTTTCTTTGGGGATTTATAAAGGGCAATGTTTACAGGAGGATCGTGTCGAACATTGATGACCTAAAAGCCAGAATTACAACTGCAATAGCCTCTGTGGATGCCGANGAATATGTCAGACAGACATTTTTAGACAATCCTAGAAGATCTGTGAGATCAGCGGCAAGAGAATTGGATATGCCAATTTCGACCGTGTAGAAGGTTATTAAGAAACAATTAAGACTGCATGCATACAAAGTTCAAATTGCTCAAGGTTTGGAACCGGACGATAGGCCGAGGACTCCTAGGCTAGGAGGATGGCGTTTGCAACAGATATGGTAGGAAGGATAGAAGATGCTGCTGATTTTCTGAAGCGCATAATGTTCTCCGACGAAGCATCCTTTCCTGTTTCTGGCATTGTTAATCGCCTTAATGTGCGCATATGGGGATCCGAAAACCCCCATGAATACCGTGAGACACAAAGGGATTCCCCAAAGGTTAATGTGTGGTGTGGACTAATGCACGACCGAGTCATTGGACCTTTCTCTTTTGCAGAAAAGACGGTCTTATTAGTTGTATACTTAGACATGCTGGAAAACTTCATATTTCCACAACTAAAAGAGTTTCAGCCACATGTTTTTTTGCAACAAGATGGTGCACCACCTCCTTAGGGTATCATCGTTCGTAGTTCTTTGAGTGAACATTTTCCAGGAAGATGGATTGGGAGAGGAGGTCCAATTCCTTGGCCACCCAGATCACCTGATATAACGCAGCTGGTCTTTTTTCTTTGGGGATTTATAAAGGGCGATGTTTACAGGAGTATCGTGTCCAACATTGATGACCTAAAAGCCAGAATTACAACTGCAATAGCCTCTGTGGATGCCGACATGCTTGCCGCTACCTGGCGTGAAATTGACTATCGACTTGATATTCTCCGTGCGACGAAGATGGCACTCGTGGAAGTTCGTTGACAAGGATCATGAAACTTTTTTAGTCTATCTAACCATTTATGTTATTAATTTTATTCTATCTTTATTATTTTATGAGTTATTAAAGATCAAAATGGGTCCGGGACTTAATAAACATCCTGTATTTGAATCAATTATTCTAATCACTTAATTTGTATTAATTGGTAATAATCACTTTAAACATAGATTCAATTCTACTCTGTTGGTTTCTATAAGTAAATAAAAATAATTTATTATAGTTTGTGACTTTCATTAAGTCGAGCAGATAAATCTCTCATATAGATAAATTTAATATATTTTTATTATTATCAAATGCCAGTCGTTCGGTTGCTATGTCATTAGACCACGGTCTCTCCAAAATTTCTCCACTTGACTACAGAAAGAAGATTGAGCATCCAAATGCAAAGCAGTTATATCCTGGCCAGTCTTATTAAAAGAGCAAGCAGGAGAGCCATCAATGTTCAAACAAAAAGGATGGAAGCGAAGATAATTATGTCTCTCAGGAGTTTAAAAGGTTGTAACAGCTGCAGAGTCAAGAATAAGCTGTGGTTTAGAGAAGGACCACCTTTTGAGTGGAAAACCTTGGAGTACATTCCAAGGTTTTCCACTCAAAAGATGAAAAACCGTTTCACGGATAAGGCATTTGGAAATCCTAACTGTTTCCAATTTCAGCCGAAGGTTTCTGAGGAGCCAAAGACCCCTTCTTGGTAAGATAGTCAACCTTCTCATTCACCGCAATGTCACAGTGGGAGGAAATCCACTGATTATAGTAATTCTCGAGCAAAGTCCAACACTTCAGAGTTCTGGGAGCCTCTTTATTAGAGGAAAGAACTTACAGTGCAGTCAGGGAAAAAAACACTACTCTGATCTTTCAAAAGAGTCTCATCGAATATCAAGTTATTTGGTTGTTACGAAAATGGACTGTTACTTGGCATCAAAATGAGTTGTGAAATTTCCAACTTATGTTTTTTATCTTCTGAACCGTTCGAAGTCTCTAGACCTTATCGAAGTCCAGAAACACTGCAAGTACAAAATGTCGATGATCTTTAATAGGTTGACTCAGGAAGTCAGTCTGTTAGGCAGTACACTGCAATCTTCTGAAGCCTGTCTGAGTAAATTGTTTTTTTTTTCAATATGCTAGTTCAGGCGAACTAGCATATTGCGAACGATCTCCAAATTAATATGCACTGGTAAAATAAATTAAGAGAATTTGCATATTTTATCGAATTTCATGAAAAACACTGAACTGAATGTAACTACTTCTAGACCAAAATACAAATCTTGTACATCAAATACGTAAGCACACACGCGTGTGTTGCAGAGCCGGAAGAGAAACAGGCTTTATAAGTGCGCTTAAGTTAAGATGCATTTCGTTCGCTAGCACACCATGGTGAATTTCTTGGTGATATTTTGCAGCAATAGGTCAAATTCAAATTGTAAAAGTAAAGATGAGTAACCACCAACGTTTAGATGAAGGAATGAGTTGAGGCCAATCTCAGATCCAGATTTGTAGAGAGTTCAATTTAACGTCCAGTGTCGAGTTTATAACTTAAGGAAACAGTTCTAGGATACAGGATACATCGAGAGAAAGTCTGGGCAAGAGCCCCGACGGCCCCAGAAGATCACCATTTTTCCATTATAGCGAGGCGTAACAGAGGGGCTACAGCTTCTCAGCTCTCTCGTGATTTGTATGCAGCCACAGAAACCCATGTATCAAGGGTGGCTGTTTCCAAATGATTTCATGAGAGAGGGTTGTTTGCAAGAAGACCTGCTGTTTGCATTCCGCTCACTTCTACGAACAAGAGAGTTCGTTCAGCATGGTGCAGAGAGCATAGAGATTGGAGTATAGATCAATGGGTGACAGTTCTCTTCGCTGGTGAGTCCCGGTTCAGCTTAAACACCGATTCTCGCCGTACGCTCATATGGAGAGAACAATGGACCCGCTACGTACCCTCCAATGTCCACGAAATTGACCATTATGCCGGAGCTGGTTTAATGGTCGGGCAGGCATCATGTTGCATGGCCGCACATCTCTCCATGTCTTTGAAAGAGGCTCTGTGAATGGTGTGAGATATCTGGATGAGGTCTTGGAGCTCTATGTTCGCTTTTTCAGGGATGCAGTTGGCCCTGAGTTCATTTTAATGACGATAACGCGAGGCCACATTGAGCTCTTCTGGTCGACGAAATTTTTGAGAATAAGGACATTCGCCGGATAGATTGGCCAGCTAGATCCCAGACCTCAACCCTATACAGCATGTCTCGGACGCTCTGAGGAGGGCAATTGCAACTCGCTACCCCATCCGAGAACCATCCAGGGAATGAGAACAAAGTTTGAACGAGCGGAACCAATTGCTGCAGGAAATGATAAACTGCCTTATTTCAAGTATGAAATCACGCTGCAAGGCCTGTATAAGGGGACCACACCCCCTACTAACCATTTTTTTAAAATTTATTCTGCTACCACTGTTTCATTCCTTCCTACTCCAGCGAGTGTTACGCACGATCATGCTTGTGTATTGCAATTGTTGAATGGTAATTCGTTTTCTATTGTGTCAATGTATGTACATATCAAATTTAATTAAAATCGGTCCAATAGTTCTAGAAATAATAAACCAAGTCTACAAATTCTTATAATTTCTTACACAAGTGTACTATATTTTCATTAATTTGATGAGAATTAACGTACAGATGAGACTCAACTGATCCTAATCGTCTGAACAATTACTTACTCTATTCGAATAAATGAAACGGAACAGGCGTATGAATGAGGTTCGATCCCTTTTAAATGACTCTTTTTCATTGATTCTGTTTAATCATTTTAACATTTATTTGAATCGTTTGCTCTTATCATTTGTTTGAATCAAATTATTTTTCTTAAATTTCAATAAAATAATTTTTTTAAAGTGTTGTACTGTACAAGTTCTTTCTGTGTAGGTATCTGCAACAATTGATGCCACTTATAATACGCAATGATCCTGGAATTCAATTTCACTAAGAAAGCAGCCTCTTAAAATCATAATTTTCGAAAATGCACTTTTGCAGGTGCCTCACGGACTATGTGGATGTGTCCACGATAACCATCGTAGGTAGCAAATTCCTGGTGGGACGTTTCTGCGGCAATGACATCCCGAATTCCATGCTCTTCATGAATCCTCGGGCGGAGATCATCTTCAAGACAAACCACGTGATCCACAGCAAGGGATTCCACGGATCCTACCATTTTCAGGACGAGAGTAAGATTTCACTTTATCACACAATAGTGAGTTATTTTCATGGTAAGGGGCATCTCTGTCAGGAAAAGAATGTACACACAACTTTTGCTTTAATTTTACATAATACAGTAGTATTATCATTTTGAATCATTCTCCTGAAAGTAACTTAGCATGTACAATTGGAAACTAAGAAATATGAGAACGGTTCCATGCTTTTTGGAATGCGATTTTAAAAGGTAAATGATATTTCTGAGTCCAGTAACGATAAATTCTAAAAGCTGTTTCTTCTACACATTTAACAGCATACATATTACTAATTTGGGTTTAGCTGTACAGAATTAAAAAAATATCACCTTAAATAACCTTTGTTCTAATGATCATATTTTCCTGAACTAAATGTTAAATGGAAGTCTCATGAGCTATTCTGCTGATTTCGTTCAAATTTTATATTTTGTTATTAAAAACTTCATTATCTAAAATGATTTAAAAATTTATAAACCTTACAATTCAAAGTTGTTTCGAATCTTATTGAACGAACTTATTAAAAACAATAAAAGCAATTAAAAACTACTTTTTACATGGGATTATCTTTGGATGAAATAAATTTATAGCTTTTTGATTCACTTAAGAAATTCTTTAGTTATGGCGAAAGATGCTAAATGCAAAATTAACTTTAAGGGCCCCTTTATATTATCGTCCTAACCAAACTATCATCACCGTATTTCCGAGATTAAAGTTATTTGTCTAAAAAATAGGAATATTTATTTAAAGAAAAATTATTTTCTTTTGTTTGATTCTTAGCATAAAATATCATAGGCACTAATTAATTAGCGTGTTGAAAGTCAGAATCTCGGACCAATAAGCCTGAGTTCTTTTAAATAGTATCCAGTAAGAACTGTGGTGTAATACCTATCCGAAAAAACTCTAAAAACTGTATGAATTGTTAATTCCCTATCGAGCATTCTTACACACTTCAAAGGCTGTATTTAGCACCAATAATTTCTAAAGCTTACAGCAATCTGCTATTCGTTGATGATGTGTTGTGTTTTTTAGAGCTCCGTAAATTAGGCGAATAATTAACGTAATTATGCAGCTAAATTGTGAAAAATGATGGTAGGGCATATTTTAAACGAATAACAAATCTTTTTCGACCATTATTAATAGAAGAAAGGGCTAATAATTAAGCTATTTAAAAATATGGCGGTGTACTTCTTGTCGGATTTAATTGACCAAGCATTTTTTAGTATCATATAAGCTTCAATCCTCTTTCCTTATTGATAAAAAATACTGATTGTGCTCGATTATTTGCCAAGTACTCATAATTTCCAACTTCTTGTCAGATTGATTTGACAAACTACTCATATAAACTGTTACAAAATGCATGAACACTTTTAGTTTTAGTCTCTTAAGATTTACAAAAATACGTCAATTGTATAAATTGATTTCATGATATCGCATCCCGCAAGAACAGTGTCATAACTCTAAAATGCAGCATTTGAGAAAAATCAACTTAAAGAATATTACAACACTTATCCTGAATTAGACACAAGACTGACACAACTGCCCTCAGCTGGATAAATTGTGAGTTAGAAATGTGACACTTTTTGAGCTTGACGGGACACTTCATACATATTTTTCATTGACTTAACCTCAAAATTGCTGTTTTTTGACTTGTGTCACTTTTCTTCTCTGGGGTGAGATATTTAACATTCATTTACTTCGGGTTTGTTCGAATTCTGTCTGTGCTGTATGTACGTTTGATTAGCTCACTAATTATGTTTTAAGAAATATTGTATATATGCCCCCTAAATTTATGATTCTGGCTTAATATTGTATCATTAAAGTAACTTTTCTGTATCAAATCTTTCTATAATTATAAATTTAGTCTTACTGAATAACAAACATGGAACTATCTTTTGCTTTGGTGTAGTGGAACACTTAGTAAAACACCACTTAAGTGTGAAATAGTTGCCTCCATTTTTTGTGTTCAGATACTCGAACATTTTCAAATCCGAAAATTAGATCAAAAGTTATTCAGCATTTCGGCTTTTTATTTTGCACATTGTGCAACGAAAACTATATTAGTAATACATATGCTGTATATTTTAAGCCAATCTGTTAAAAAGTGAAGAAGTTGTAAGATCTGCAAGTTTAAGAAACTTTATTTTGAAAAAAGGAGTTTTGAAGTTGGAAATTTTTTTTTATCCATACTCCCATCCAGTTTTTTACTCAGAAACTTTTCTTCTAGATCAACTTTAACACCATGATCACTAATAAAAAGGTTGCAATAGTGTTAAGAAATCAGGCAATCATAAGCAACTAAAAAAGCAGCACAACAAGATAAAAAAAAAAAGCAGGAACTTCTTAGAGTTGATTGTTTTCCCGACTAAGTTTTTAATTTTTATTATAACCAGAGTACATTTTAAATATTTTTTCATAATGTTAATTTAAAGTATTTTTTTTTCTTCTTATTCTTATGATTAACTTATTCAAAATTACTGCTGTATTGACTGGTGATTTTAATGCAAGTATAAATACTAAAGAGGAAGGAACAAGAATTTGGCGACGTCTTAAGAAGCGTATATTGGCTGAAATTGAAAACCAATCCAGCCAATTGAACGACAAGAAGACAAACATCAATTGATACATTTTTTTCTACTCATGACTTGAAATGTTGTGGCGTTTATGAAAATCTATCCAAAAGAAGAAAAAATAAAAACATTTAACCAATAAGTAACAAGTAATCACTATGATGCGATCACAATTTTCTCTTTTTTGTAACTAATGTTCATTATATTCTTATTCTAAACATTTTATTTACTTATTAGTTTTAATTTTTGTTATTAAGAAACTTTTCTTAACTTGGTACAGTTTCCAATTTAATTACGCAAAAGTAGTTTAGTTTAAATAAAAATTTCATTGAGACCTCCCGCCCCCCATTAAGTGACATGTTCCATCATTAACGAATTGGGTAGCAGAGCTTAATAATTCTTTTTTTGTAGAAATGATACCCCCACCAAAATCGACCATGAACGTTAGCAATTGTGGCGGTATAGTGACAGGAGTGGGTGGAATAATTGTCTCTCCTGGCTATCCTTATTATTTTCCAAAGAATATCGAGTGTATCTGGCTTCTGAGAGTGGACTATCATATGAGGATCTATGTTCGAATCATCAAGATGCAGCTCTACGGAAGTATAGGTAAATATTCACTCCCCCATTTGCATGTTTACGAAAACTTCTCTCACTGAAATAAACAAATCACTAGTAGAAATATTTTCAATGTAAGTTTACAATGTGAATATAAAAGGGATTTATTAAAAGGACACTGTACTGCAGTAAAAGACCTTCCCGGCAAATTCTCAATCAATTACGTTTGTAATTTAAAGTACAAGATTGTCCAGTGAATCTGTCATCATTTGCTTGATATTTCGTAATGGTTTGCTTTTAGTTTATCTGAACTCACGTTTTCTATACTTTAAACTTTAAATGACTAACAGAGGTGGGGAAAATTTAACCATTAAGGGTTTCTCCGCTGGTGTAGCGTCTTCATAAGACAGTCTGTACTCTATTAAAAATGTTGTTTTTTTTTCATTTGTGACGATTGGAATGTTTTTCAATTGAAAATTTAGAATATAAATATTACACAACTTCCTTCATTTTTTACACATTAAATGGACGAAGATTTGACTTAATGAGATTTTTGAACTTACAAATACATTTTTAACTTTTTTTCTTCCAAATTTTGCTGGTGGGCATAGTCCCAGATAAATTCTTGATTGGAACAAAGGAAAATTTTTACGATTTTCGTCTGTAATTTGAACCAATAATATTTAAATCGAAACTGAGCATTTTTATTTTGTACTGTATAAACTGTTAATCTTTAAAGAAAAATAGGATTTTAATATTTATATGGAGAAGAAAACCATGAAATCTTATAAGAGGTTTAGAACAATGTACGGACATTTCCTCTGATCCCCCTCATCATAATTGGTCAGAAAGCATTAGATTCTCAATCTCACTATCTGTAGTCTAATCTAAATTCTCCTTTTCCTTCTTATTAATGATGCATGAAGAAGAATTTTTACTTAATGTTAGCCACTCTAAATAAATAAGACGTCCAGTTCGTTTGGTTAGCTTTTATATATTTTCTAATAACATTTTTATGTGTGCATGAATTTTGGTAGTGTGTAAGGTACTGTTATCATGTGCGTAAGGTATATCAGTAAATTTCGGGAAAAAAATCCGTTTTAAGATGTTTCCTAAAGAGTTTACAGCATATTTGAAAATTTTAAATTTAATTCAATCTGAGTCTATTTAATGTAAGTAAATTAAAAGAACTGAAATTTAATTCATATTTTAAAATATGTCACAAGGAAAAGTCTTAATAGCAATTTTGAACGAACAATTTTGAAATAGCAATTTTGAACGAACAATTTTGAAATAGCAATTAAAGAAATAGCAATTTTGAGCGCCTTTAGTTGAGCGCATTTCCAATCGATTTGTGTATACTACCCACAAACTATCAAACAAAACAAAACTTTAAATTTAATTTATATAAGTTTTGTTCTTGAATCGCAATAAAGAAATATTAAAATCCACATAATTAGAATAAAAAACATTTTATCTATGTCTACGCAAACCACAAAACTGTGATAATAATGCATGCTTGGCTAATTATGCAGCTAAATTGTGTAAAATGANAAAATGATGCATAAAGCGTTGGTATTCTGTTCGCTAATTGCCTTATCTTCAAATCTAATGATATTCCACCAAAAAAACTAATTGCTGAATTTTTTGTTTGTTTTCAAAAACTAAAATTAATCTTTACTTTTTTTTACACTTTTTATTATTCAAAATGTACATACCTGTTTCTGATGGACTCAGATATCTGACCCCCAAAATATAGGGGGGTATACACAATCTGGGAAATAGAGTCCTCATAGTTTAGTCAGGAGAGCGGTCCAAAGTTTGTACCCCTTAATATTAATTTTACTTTTTGCGTATTTTCCCTCATTTCGAAAACTTTTTAAGCAAGTTAAAAAAATTTTTAGCGCACTTATAAAAGCATTTATCCAAAAAAATAAATTCTACGGAAAAAATACATTTTAGTATACATTTATTATTTTTTGTTATTTTATTAAATCATAGGCCAAAAAAGTTTTTAATTGTAAGGTAAATAATTTCTTACATAATTTTAAAGTGTATAATTTTGCATGGCGAAATAACAAATTTGAATAAAATCGGTTGAATAGTTCCAGAGAAATCGAATTTTAACTATACTATTTTTTTAAAATTCATTTTCTCTGGAACTATTTAACCGGAACCATTCACTCTACACAACCATGGCCAAGCCTATAGCTTGATTTTTTAGAGCTCTATTTTTTAGCAGCTCTGGCAAGAATGTCACGTAATTTTAACTCTGGTCAGAAATCGTGGAAAAAGCCTAGGTGTTTTACCGACGATTCTCCAATTTTCCACATTACAACCATTAGGAGGACTTTCAGCAGTGACAGAATTGACATCATACACCCTTCTGTATATACACGCAGACTATTTAGTCACCTGCCAGGATCGAACTGTTAACCCCCTGTTCTCCAAGAAGCGGCGTCTTTACCGACTGCTCTGATGCACACCAACTGTTCTAAGGACAAAAGACTTTTCTTGGTTTTATTACAGTTGTTGTCTAAATATATATAAAAAAATCTAATGATGGTTTCGCAGTTTTTCATCGTAAACGGCGCATTTTTATTGGCCAGAAAATCACATGGTAGGATCCAGTTTTTTCGCATTAATTCTCATATTTTTTGGTTGTCACTAACACAAAACTCATATAAGTCATAAGGCTATTGCTTTCCGAAAAGTATTTTTGTATCCCTAATTTAAGGGTATTTACCTGTACTGTTACTATTATGCTTTTAATTTTGTTTGTTTTCTAAATTAAAAGTTTAAGAGGATTGTTATTATTACTAACCTAATTCTGCATTGCATTTTAAGAAAAAGTTACTTAAATCGGTGTCCGATCTGGTTAACCGTTTCACAATTACTATTTTTCGATACAGATTACATGAATGACGGTTAAAGAGATTCGTTAAATGATTTAGAACATTGTATTTAAAATATATTTGGTGAACAAAAATATTAAATTACTGTTGTGAACTCACAAAATTTGCTACAAAAAAATTATTTCAAAAAATTATTTATGCCCACTAATAGATATTAATATTATCATAAGGGAAATATTTGGACGTGAGATTTGGTGGCACAAGTGTTCCTTTTTGTACATATATGTTTAGTAGAATAATTTCAACTGTTCTGTGCCAAGAAACAACAACTATTGCAAGCAATCATCGGGGTTGGTGAGCGTCAACGAACAGGGAGCTTAGCCCCCTAGTATTTGTATAAAAAATAAATAACAATAAAAACGCATAAGGAAGAAACATTATTAACATTTATTCATAGATAGAAAAAAAAAATTATTTAGATTTTTTTATTTATTGAATTGTCGTCAGACTCTTCGAGATGCTATGCGTTAATTTATTTTGTTTCATTTCTTAAGCGAACTGTCCAGAGGCTGAATTGGCCATCTATGATGGCTACTCCAGCATATCGTTCAATCCGAATCTTATGCAGAAGTACTGTGGAGATCTTCGATACTACAAGAATATCGAGGAACAGACTGCGCTCTCTGCAAGGAACAGGCTCTTGCTCAGGTCAGATTTCAAACACTTGTGTTTAATGCACGACATACGTCATCACTATTTTAGTACACTGTTGGAATTTTCTTGAAAAAAATGGTTAAATAACAATTTATATCATTGTTATTTTACCCTCTTCAAACAAAACAGTCAAATAACCATAAATAAGATGGTATTCAAACTGTTAGAAAAATCGCTTATTAAATGCTCTGACCCAATACAGTTAAGCAACCAGAATTTTATCTCACCAACTAAGCCCATCCAATGAAGTTCCTTACTGCTTCATATCATAGCCGAGGGGGCCAATGTGTCAATCTCATGAACGGCGATTCCAGTCCCTTCATCACTTGAAGAGTTTCCAACAAAGCCCATTGCATAACGAAAAGCCTTGATCCAATGTCCAGTTAAATTCGTTTTGAAGCCATACTAGCTCTGAAAATAAACGTATAGTTTTGGTTTCATAATCACATTAGTTATAAACTGTTTCAAAACCATAAAGGTAAAACATTACCGTAGATCTTTACCATAGACTTTACGGTTAATTGCATGGACAGACTGCTGTCGGTTATTTTACCATAATTTTAGAATGAAAATTCTAACAGTGCAATAAAACTTTTAAATTGTGTAAATAAAAAAAAATAAAAAAATAAAAGCCATATTATAGTTAATAGTGAAATAAAAGTTCTTCGACTATCAATGAAAAAAAATTATTCAGCGCTTATTTTTTGAATATTTTTCAAGAATGAAGATAAGAAACAAGGATTTTACAAAAGAAATCGCAAATCTATGAGAAAATAATACAAAAACGAATTTCAGAATTCGACAAATCACAACTTAAGAATGGTGGGAATCTTTCTTAAGTTGCGTACACCTCCTTTTTTCATCAACAATTTTTCAGATTTCAAATCAAATTTTGTTCTTAAGTCTCCTAAATACTAATTTTCTACCCTCCCTCACAATGTGGGTACTTTATGCCTTCATTCTAGAGAAGGACTCTAAAAATATATTTCAAGGGTAGGTTGTACAAAGCACCATGTACATCCTTTTTAAAGATTCTTTGTTGTCTGACCTACTAATTATAATTTGGCCAAATTGAGCTCAATGATTTAAAAGTGTTGTGTTTTACAGATTCAAAACATCGGCGGCTCAAATCATGAAAGGAGAAGATTTAGACAAGAATGCTGTTGGTTTTAAAATTATCTGGACTGCAGTAGAATTTCAAGATGAGGGTAATTTTTAATATTTATTTGGGAGATTTCGCACTTTTACTTCAGCTTCCTTTAAGCTCCCGTGCGTAAGATTGGAACACGTTAATATTAAATGCTTTACGTTATGTTGCCTTGATTTACTCTACTAAGACAAAGCTACAAGCACTCTGTTTATAGCTGTGTATTTAAGCTTACCTCCTTTGCCTTTGATCTTACAACATTTGATTCATTAAATGAATGAATAATTTTATTGGATTTTATTTAACTTTAAGCTTGTCTAATTGCACTAATTCCATAAGAAACTAGATAAATTTTCGCTATTTTAAAATTATAAATTATATTTATTTAATCTATGCAATTTAGTTAAACGAAGTTAAATAATCAATAGAAGTGCAATAATATTTTTTAAGTATTATTATTAATAATATTAATAAGATGCATTCTTTATCGCTGAAGAATTCAGAATTCATCAAAATCTATAATAAACCAAATTTTTCTGCTCACAGAACCGCAGTTTTATGCAGAGCAAAGCATCTTGAATCGTATACCACAGCCTTAAATGAATAGTCAATATCTATTGTAAATGTTTGCTTTGATTTTACGGCCTAAGTTTAAATGATATTCTACTAAGTTAGTGTTTTTAACCTAAGGGTTTTTGCAATTATTTTTAAAAAAGTAATCATATTTCAGAAGGTTCAATGAGCTATGTAAAGGAGCAAATCTCCTTAAATTACTTTCGTGATATTATTTTGATCATTGCATGGGGACACTCTATATAATTTAATGTGTACAAAATTATATAGTGTAAACGATAATTTCAATAGCAATAATTTACAGAGTAATTAATCCCCAATCAATAATTCAATAATTCATTCCCAAGCATTAACAATTTCCGAGCAATAATTTCCAGGGTAACTATAAATACAAAAATGAGCTACTAAGCAAAATCATATTCTATATAGATGCAAAATTATACAATTTAAGAAATTTCTGAACAATATGTATATTTTATTTCCCCATTCTTTATTTTAATGCTTTGGTGCCTTACGTACAGTGCGTAAAATAAAAACCGAACCAGTTTGAATAACTTTTGATCTAATGATCTGATCTTCACCTTCTAAGACTCAATCTTAACGGCTAGAGGGGGGTGATTTCAAAAATGCTAATTAATAATTGCAGACTATATTTTAAATTGCAAAATCAGACACAAAAGCGCATTTTCTCTAAATAAATATGTACCTTTTTTACTGCGGATTCGGATTTCTAACCTCAAAAATTTAGGGGTTAGCCGCAATTTGGGACACATTGTCCCAATATTTGATCAGGAGAGCACTCCAAAGTTTTTACCCCTTAACGTTAATTTACTTATTGCATATATTGCTATATCTCGAGAAATTTTGAAGCGAATTGAAAACTTTTGGACACAATTATAAAATTTCTTTATCCACATGCAAAAATAGTTTTTAGTAAATCTTTATCATTCTTTATTATTATTTTAATAATGGTCGAAACAATTTTGAAGTGTATACAATTTCTTGCATCATTTTGAAGAATCTAATTTTACATGCAAAATACAAAATTTGAGCGAAATCGGTCGGATAGCCTGAGAAATCGAATTTTAAATGTCTGACTTTTTTGAAATTTAGTTTCTTAGTTTAGTTTAGGTTTTTTGCATAGACGAAAAATTGTATTCTATATCGATACAAAGTCAAGTGATTTATGAACTTTCTTAGCAATACATTTATTTTTTTATCCTGGTTCTCTATTGTAAGACTTTGGAGGCCTGTATAATATATACCTACAAACTAAATCATATTCTACGTATTCTAAAATGGCTCAGATTCTAAGATAATTTAAGGAATTTTTGATCTAATAATTTATGGAAAGGCTCATAATATTTTTGAACGATGTTTCATAGAAACAAAATCATAGCTTAAGTCATTTTATACAATAAAATTTTTATTCTCGACAATTTTTTACCATAAATTCGCTTAAAGAGTCTTTTTTTCTTGTTACCTAATTTCGCTTGCTTCAGCTTAATTTTTTTAAATTTATTTATTCTGGAAAAAAATGATGAATTCGAAGTTTGGAGAACTAAGTACCACTTACAGCATTAAAAATTAAAAAAAATTGAAAACAATTTAAACTGATGTAAAAGCTAGAGGTAATTCATAGGGCTTATCTTTAAACTTATTTTTTATCCTCTTTTGTAACATAATTTAGAAAGAAAGATTATTCAATTATTATTCTTCATCATTAGGATAATTTCTTTTATTTTACTTCAAAGAAAAATATTTCCTAATTATTAAGTATGTTTAATAAGAAAATTTTAGCTCTTATATGCTATTGTCCTTTTCGATGCTTATTTATATGATTATCAAACAGAAGAATTTTTGTGGGTCTTTTCATTTTATTACATTTTTTCCTGGATATAGTGTATTTAAAATATAATTTGTAAATAATTTTAATGATTTTCAATGTAAGCAATATGTATTCGTACATATACTATTGGTCAAAATGTATTCGATATGATAGCATGAAGCAAAAAGTGTCAGATTTTATGAATTCTACTTCATACTACTCTCTCAGTCATGCCTTAAAATTGTTTCTGAGAAGAACGTATCATTAAATGAATGCATTCAAAACGAAGACAATTTCAGATAAGAAACACCGCAAAACGGAAACTACTTTATTAACAACTTTTTTCACAAATTTTTTGTTACATTTATACAAATACTTGATCTAGTCTAATTCGGTCTTGAGGATTTCAAATCTGAAATTAGCTTTGTTCAAAAGCTACAGACTCTTTTTAAAATGACATTTCTTTTTGTCGAAATGTACAAGTTTGGAAACGTTATATATAACGGAGGGTCGCGTAAAGGTTAGGACAAAGTTCTAGGGCAATTAAGGCACATCATTAGGATTAAAAATGTATAGAAACCTAAGCCCGGAAATGTCATTGTACGCGGCTTGGGGCATTTCTCCTATTATGATCTGTTTAAGAGCACCCAAATAATAGGAAATAATTATAGTGTTCATAATAGGGACATGCTTAAGCTGCATATCCGAGCATAAGTTCTCATGCAATTCTAATCTTTATGATGTTCCTCAACTCCTATAGAAGTTCTTCGCAACATTTATGCGATCCCATTGTTATATAGAGCGTTTTTAAACTTGCACATTTCGACAAAAAATAGACTAAAAATGTCATTTAAAAAAGGTCTGTAGCTTGCGATACAAAAGTAGCTAAGATCTATTTCAAAAAATGCAGCAGAATATGGAAATAAAGAAAATGGGTTGCCTTATTGTTATCTTTTACTGATTATTGTTTATTATGACGGTTGATCATTCATTGAAGTTGATTGTCTATCCAACAGCTGATAACCTTTGATGGATTTTCTAACACCTTTTAAGTCAGTCAATTACTATTTTTTGAAGAAGAACTGTCTTTAAAAACTTTTTGCAACATTCCAATAGCTTTTGTAGCAGAAATTTCAGCTCAAAAAAAATTTATGTGTGTTATTTCACCGTTTTAAAAATTTGACAAATTGAAAATTTTTCTCTCATTGAAAACTTATATACTTTTTGAAAATAAGTTAACTATTTCTAAATGATTATAGAAGCTGCAAAAAATTTGATAAAAGTTTGCAATCTATGTCAATAATTAATAAATTATGAATGGAACAGTCTAGTTACTTTTTCTTTTTGATCAGATTAGTATATTACAATCTGGAAATTGGTTAAATCGATTAAACAGAAGTCCCCAAAAATTACGCAACAAAGAAAAAAGTGAATCTTCTGTTCAAAACCTGGTAAAAATGAGGAACCAATATTCATTTTTGGTTCATAATTTATTCAAATGAAAATTATTTAAGATTTTAGTCCAAGCCATAACTGTAACGTATTCCTTTAATTGATTTTCTCTGAGAACGTTATGAATTCCAATATTAAAGTGTTCTTTTTAAGGAAAAGCAATTAAAATTTAACTTAAAATTCTAATTCAAACTGTAACTTAAAAGATTATTGAGAAAAGAATGGTCAGTTGAAATGGTGGGTATCAAAAGTAGAATTTGAGGGGAAAATGAAACTTTAAAACAAAACTTAAAAGTTTTGGTTCACACTATTACTGCAACAATACGTAACTATTTCAAAAACTGTACAGGATTTTAATTTTATGGGTGCCTTTTTAAAAAGGGAAAAAAAACTTTAAATTAAAACCTTATTATTTCACCTTACTCTATAGCCAGTAATAGATAAATAATTCAAATTTCAAAGTACCATTTTTTCTTTTTAAAAAATTGCGCAAAATTTATGAGTATTATTATTATGTAAGTATATATGTCAGACAAATTCTAAAAGATAGTAATTTAAATTTTTAAATTAAATTATTTCAAATAATCGCATTTAAAAACAAACTTTAAAAAAAATTTACACAAATTGTTGTCGCAGAAACACATAGTCGATTCGAATTTCTCGAATCTCTTTGATTAAAGGAAGGAAACTTTAAAACTAAACATAACGACTTTAGTTCACGCAATTAATATTGCAACAACAGCATCTAATACATTTTTTAAATGCATTGAAATTGAATTTTAAAATATCTTTAAAAAATCGAATTTATTACAGAAAGTCATTATCAATTCAATTTTTATTTTCATTTATTTATTTTTATTATTATAAAAATATTTTTATTTCTTTTAAGAATTTTGAGGTTTAAAAATTTATGGCTAGTATTATGGTATTCTGATATACGAAATAAAACTTATAATTTAGTCAGAACTACCATAATTATCCTGTGAAATATGCTGAAAGGAAAACGTAATAAAATGGGAGACTACCGAATAGAAATAACTATTTTATTAGAAATACCATAAGTGAAGTGAACAATGCACAAAACGAGTCTCATAGAAAATAAGAAGAAACTTTTAATCTAGTGGTCGGATTTTCCCAAAGATGCAGTCCACATTTGAGGGGGCTCATTTCGAATTTTTTTAATTAGAAAGTTAAAATCATTCCTTTTG